GACTTAGCTTCCACTGCTTTCGTCGGTATGAGAGAAGAGAGAAGGCGATTGCAGCGTGCGACAAATCTTTGCAACTCCGCTCGTACTGGACGGATTCTTAAAAATTTTGCGGTGTTGAATTCGTGACGCAATAAGCTCTTTTAGTGAATCCATTCCATGGTTTTTTTGAAAAAGTGTTTCAGGGCCCTTTTAAAAAATATCTAGAATAGCAAATGCCATATAGAAGATTTGGAACCCGTAGCATGAGCTACTGTCCCCAGCACTTCGCAAGCGCTGTTAAAGGAAAAAAAACGAAGAAATCTATACACGCATACATACTACAGCTTTTCATAAACAGGCCGTACTGTTGTATTCTTGCTGCGGTGAGGTTATAGTTAGGGAAAGTACCGACATAAGACTGTTCTGTAGTGACAACTGTTGGCACGGTGCCCTAAAAGCACACATGTTGGCAAGTTTAGCGCGAAGATAATGCGGTTAGCGTCGTCACGAAAGCGTTTCGAAGCGAAATTCTGCCTTTTGCTAGTCGCATTCTTACACCCTGAACGTCGCCGTAATGAAGAGGACTAACTATTTTTGACATCTTTGTTTCGGAACAAGCTGACTGCCCAGAGATTACGAAACGATCACAGTGCAGAATTCAGAAACTGTAACGAAGGCTGGAGGTTAAAAAAAAAAAACAACGTCCCCGGAAGATACATCACCTGGATAAACGTCCCTGGGAAAAATGTTGCTGTTTGCGCTGTTTGAAAGAACGTCCCTACAACACACACCCTCGAACATTGCGCCTTCCAGTCGCGAGTTCTCTATTTCTCAAAGAGAAAGAAGATGTGCGTGATGATTGCAGTTTTCTGAAAGTATATTGACGAAGTACGACAATGACATACCAGCTGTTTCAACTTAAGTCTAGGAGCCCCGCCGCGGTGGTCTAGTGGCTAAGGTACTCGGCTGCTGACCCACAGGTCGCGGGATCAAATCCCGGCTGTGGCGGCTGAATTTCCGATGGAGGCGGAAATGTTGTAGGCCCGTGTACTCAGATTTGGGTGCACGTTAAAGAACCCCAGGTGGTCAAAATTCCCGGAGCCCTCCACTACGGCGTCTCTCATAATCATATGGTGGTTTCGGGACGTTAAACCCCACATATCAATCAATCAACTTATGTCTAGGAGTAATATGAGATGAAATATCACGTACAATGCGCATGCCAGATAAATGTTATCTAGATATATGCACGCGCCTGAAAAAGACATAAAGCGGGTGACAGTTCATGGTACATGCGTTTCATCCGAGTACAGCAGTTTGGTCGCACCAATGTTCGTCCCGGTGGCTTAGCGGTTACAGTGTTCGGCTGCCAACCGGAAGGTTGCGGGTTCGATCCCTGCTGCGGCGGTCGCCTTCTGATGTAGGCGAAATATTATAGGCGCATGTTGTGTACGATGTCAGTGAACGAAAGCAAGGTAAGTATACGCCCTCGGCAGCTCATTCGATACTTGCCCTGTGGTGTACTTAACAGTACTTATTTGCGGAATGGTGACAATGAAATTGAACAAAGAAGGCAAGAACCTGTGCACGGGCGGCTATATGTAAATACAAAAGGCACTGCCTTGGGCACTCGCTGGCGTGGTGCTAAACGGGATGGATGCAAACGCGCTTCGATTCCGGAGAAATCGTCAATTGACTACCACTTGTTGTTGCCACTCTGCAGATAATGTTGCGATTAGTATCTCAAGAACACGGCAGTAAATGAAGGAGATTACACTTGTCTCGAGAAAAAAGCACCCACCGCCATTGTCGCAGATGCTGTCAGAATCCTTAATTACGAAAAATAAAATGCCGCATAAGTAGCGAGCAGAATCTGAAACGCTGCATTCGCCAGTAGCGGGGCAAGATGTACCCATCGAACCCTCTCAGCCTCGGAGACCTTTTAATTCCGGCACTTTGAACTACCACTGCGGGCGACCGTTCAGAGCGCTTCCTGTGCTGCGGTAGACAAAAAAAAAAAAAGACTGCTTGTATTTTCCAGCGCAACTTGCTTGAAGTTGTTAGCTGATAGCAGCAGCTGCAGTTCATGGACGGAAACTTCAATCTCGCTGATGGCTGTTGGATACACGATTTGGTTTTAACTTCGTTCGTTTTCGAACACACTTTGGCTGAAAATTCGCGAACTGTCGAACAGAGAATGCAGTTGATTCGTTTTTCGGTTAATTCTCACCCGGGGACTTTTCTTCAGTGACAGCTATGCCAGAGTTAAGCCACCGTGGCAATGATGGAGTACTAATTTGCCCAGCCTTCGTACTTGCAGGCTTGAAGCGCGCTTGTGAATTTGTTTATTGCTTTATTTGGTTTCCTGTCTGATAAGAGAACGGACTGTCGTGGATTTGGTGAGGCGATATGAATTGGTGAGCCTAAAAACGTCAAGGTGGCGATGCGTTACTGCTAAGGCTTTGCTCAACTTCATGTTGCGGCAAGGTGGATTCAGTTCCCATGGAGCCAAACGAAGCCGAAAGAGCCGTCGAGTAAACAACCGGCGTCTTCCTGCATGGCGGGTCTGACGCAATGCGCGGCGACGTCACTCGTCCTTTTCGTCCTTGGGTGCAGCCACCTGCAGCGCAGCCTCTCCAGATTCGATGAGAAAGAATGACGCGGCCCAGCGGCGACCCCATTGGAGGATTCTAACCTCACGACCAGCGGCGCTTCTGGTTGGACATTCGGGTTGGACCCGGTGCATATAAAAGAAGCCCTGCGGCGCGTCGCGAGCAGCAGTCCTATGTTAGAGCAGACATGTGTGTCGCAGTTGAACTATGTGAGCAGGAGAGCTATGTGTTACTTGAGCTATGTGTTAGCAGTTCAGCTATGTGTTAGGAGTTGAGCTATGTGGCAGGAGACCCATTTTGAGAGTAGAGCTATGCGTTAGAGAGAAGAGCTCGGCTCTTCGCGTCTCTGTCGGCCCCAGTGCCGAATTTGTAACGCCTCTGTTTCTATGCTGTACATAAACCTGGTTTAACTCACGGATGACTAGACAAATCCGTCTACTACCTATCATTGCCATTTTGGCTGAAATGCTGTGCGTTGTAGCTTCCATATAAACTAGTGCCATAGTTACCGCTAGTGTCTCTCATAATCATATGGTGGTTTTGGGACGTTAAACCCCACATATCAATCATAGTTACCGCTAGTGTACTTATAGGAAACTCTACAGCGTCGCTGAGCTTGTATTGGTTCATGATAACGATAATTTCTTAAAAATGGCAAAGCTCGACCATAACAGCTCTGCTGTAAAAATACTTAAAAATATTGCCTGAAAAATACCGATGAAATGTTAAGGTTCATCGTGAATTTGAGCTCACAAAAAGAATAAAGATAACGTTGTCTAAGAACCTTAGGATATATAGCACCTATTATCTGTTTTCTCTTTCGCATTACGTATAATTTACTACACTTCACGGCAGCTAGCTCGTTCGTGGTTTGCATGGAGGAAGTAATGACAGTTTGTACGGCATCTATACAATGTAGATGTAGATTCTAAATTTTTGGCTCACGCCCACCCTGGGAAATTGGCCAAGAATAGGGTAGCTTAACAAAAAAAAAAGAATGTATATTTACTCAAATACTATCTAAAAGAATAATAACAGAAATATTATTTTTTGTAAATCATTTTTGAGAAAAAAAATTAGATGAATAATTCCTACTGAAGGAGCAATAAATGATTGATATTAAAGATAATTTTCCTGAAGGCTATACTGGTTAACTCAGAACCTTTTGATATTGAGGTTATTGAGTAAATCTCTTCGACTGTTCAATGAAATCTTGCGTGGCCTTGCACACTTTCTCGTTACTTTGCCAAAGGGTGTGTTTACATTGAGATAGTAAACTTGGCGTTCTCAAAGCTAATCCAAAGATTTGTAACAGCATTTCTAGCGATACATTTGTTGAAAACTTTCGACAGGAGATCAAAAAGTGTCACACAGTTTTCTCTTCTCCACAAAAAGAACACAGCAGGGAGAGAGTCAAGCCTGCTCTGAAGAAATAAAAACTCTATGGAAGAATACGACAGGGTAATCGAGTGATTAAAACTTCCAAACATCGGTTATGGCACGAGGAAGTTTTCCAGGGTGTCATTAGATGGTTGAAATACGGAAAAAATTTTAAAGATGGTGCAGAGAATTCTCGCATCATAATTTGTCTTCGAAATCTAGCCGCTAGTTTAAAAGTTGTTGTAGGGGTAATATTGTAGGGATAATATTTATAGAGAATCTTCCCCTGATCACTCTTTTTTTTTTCATTCCGTGACGAGGACAGTATCTAAGAAAATAACAATACTGAGTTCCATATCAGAAATGCTATTCTGTACAGTATATAATAATCAATGTAATATAAAAACTGCTTCGTCCCCCGAAACTTCTCTTAAGCCACTAAAATTAATGATGCGTTTAGGAAGCGTTACCTTTTTTGTTTGATCGCCCAACTGTCGCAAAAGACAAGTAAGAAACTCTAATTTTCTCGTTTAACACCAGTTGCAAGATGGCTTTATAGTAGGCTTTCTTCGCTCACTCACTCATTCATGCACCATTTAATACACTATTTATTGCAGTGATGTCCCAAGATTTATTCACTTAGTTGCACAGTACGCGGCAGGCACATGTGCCAATTTGAGGAATACCGTAAAATAATGATGAAGATGATAATGATGATGCTTCTTGCGTGATTAGCATCCACCAACTCGGGCAGGTCGACCAAGAATCAGGCGGAAATGTGAAATAACAGATCTTAAAACCTTTTTTATGCATTTACTTTAGCTATGACTTTTTCATTACACGTATTCTTGTATTTTCTTATTTAATTTAGCATCTTATTTTCCTCGTGAACTCGTGCGATGTTTTTGTTCGAGTGATTGCCATTGGCATCAGTCATTTCATGCGTACGTGGTATTACTAGGGTGGCTAGCATTGCTGCGGAGGAAGAAAGTAGCAGCGTTGTGAGGCCTACTGAGACCGTTGACAAGAATGTCGTCTTCACTGACCACGAAGCCACGTTCGCAGCGCTTTCACCGCAAGGTCGAGTTCAAGGTTATAGTGTTTGCCACCGTAATCAGCGTCTTCTTTACGTACGTGTCCATGGAAGTGCTGATCGTCTCAAACCAGCCGGACACCGTCGATGTCCAGCGCCCCTGCCTGAGCTCGATGCCGGTTAACTACGCTGTACCTCCGGCTGTCCTTGACGCCACCGGATTCACGGAATTGTACCTCTGGGGCGGCTTAAAGCGGCGGCGGTGCCGACGCACCGTCATCAACCTGCTTCTCTTCCACAACGAGGTTGACTTGCTCGAGGTACGTCTGCAAGAGCTGGGGAACTCCGTGGACCACTTCGTCGTGCTCGAGAGCACGAGAAACTTCCGGATGCGAGGGCGAGACCTGCTGCTTCAGTCTCTGCTCAACACGTCCCGGTTTCAGCAGTTCCGCGATCGAATCGTCATCGGCTATAACGCGGAATATCCCGCCTTCCCAAAGGACGCCGAACCTCGAGCCATCCGCATGGCTCTTCATCGCATTTTCATAGACGAATTGATGGCTACCTTCACCAGTTCGCTTTCGCGCCTTGACGAGGATGCCTGGATCCTGCTCACTAGCGCCGACGAGATACCCAGCGCGTCGGTCGTCGACTTTCTGAGCCACCACGACGGAATACCCGACGTCGTCGCTTTCAGGTACGCCAAGAGCGTCTACAGCTTCCGAGTGCCGCACGTGCAGAATACTTCGACGGAGAGGGCGGCTTGTACGTGGAAGTTCCTCCGCGACGACTTGGCAACCTCGCTGGACGCACTTCGGTTCGATTCTGCGGCGACAGTGGCGCAGCCGTGGATTGTGGGAACGCGTGAGCAACCGGCTGGATGGCACTGCTCCTGGTGCCTCGGCCCAGCTGGAGTTGTGGACAAGATAGCCAGCGAGCCCGATTCCGTCAGCCACTCCGTCAACGGATCGTACGCTGTCCAGCGATTGATGAGAACGGGACGCCTCTTCAACGGCAAACTGGTGGCCAGTCCAGAGCCTGATGTTTCACGCTTAGGCCTGCCGGCCTTTGTCCAAGAAAACCCGGGGAGATTTAAGAACATACTGTTTCCCATGTGGTCAAAGAAATGATGAAAGTTTTTGTGATGGTAATAAATAGCTGCACTTCGGACGCCACTCAAGAAATTCTTTTCGGCGAGGGTTGATTTTCGGCGCAGCGTCTTTGGACGTATCGGACGTATAAGGTGTCGTCTATAATAGAGCATGAAAAGTTGTAGTTTGCGCGGATGAGTGAGCCAACGTTGTGTATTCATTATTACTAATAATATATTAGCTTTTAGAAGAATTTTACTACGTGCTTTCACAAATGTTCAGCGCTGTACTTTAGCGCAGTTATTGAAAAAATAGATACTTGCAAAAATAAATTGAGGTTCACGCATTCAAATCTTGCGCCGCTTGCTTGGCTCGAGTTTCATTCATTGAATAATTCCTAGATGGCGCGGCAGCAACCCAGGGCCATTTCAAGAGAGCTGTGTTTCAGGAGCCTGCGTTTTCTTTCAGTAAGAGCTGTGTTACTTTGCTGTGACGTGTGCCTCGTGGGTACAGTGGTTATACGGTACTCGGCTGCTGACCCTCATGCCGCGGGTTCGATTCCGGCCGCGGCGGTAACATTTAGGCGAAGGCGATATAGTAGAGGCCCAAGTACTGTGCAACGTCAGGGCACGTGAAAGAGCATCAGATGTTTGAAATTTCCGGAGTCGTCCACTACAGCGTGTCTCAAAATCATATCATGGTCTTGGTACGAAAACCACAGAGATTGTATTTGATATTATTATTAATTTTCTAAGACGAGACCCGTACTGTTTGTGGTGATTGGGGATGAAGGTTTGACGACAGGCTGCAAACTGATCGACTGTTATCGACTACTGCATACTACGAGAAAATTGGTCCAGAAAATTAGTCTTCTGCTTTGCATATTCAACGTTAACTTGGATATTCCATGTCCATGGCGACTAGCAAGCGCGTGCTATGAATGTACACATCATAAACACCGCGACAAAATGTTTTTAAACGGGTTGGCTTACTTAGGGATGTGGTAACGTTTTAATTTTGTGGTGTAGTTAGCGACTTTCGCGTTCAAGAGCTTGTTTCGCAGAAATTCAGGCGTCGGTGTCGTTGGTTTAAAGCGAAAGTTCAGCATTTTATGCGTGGTCGAAAAATCGAGAACGACCAGAACCACAAATGTATGGGTCTAAGTGGGAATTGAACCCGGGTCGTTTGCGTTGCAAGCGGATATTTTACCACACGGCCACGCCGCTGCTTGTCAAAACAGCGAAAAGAACTTTCTTTTTTTGGAAATGCAGTGAAAGTAGCTTTCATGCTTCACAAACACACGCGTCCTGTATTCATGCTTCACAATGCAACGTGCAGTATTGCAGTAATAATGCGTCGTACAAGCCTCGATTGCCAACGGGTTTAATAGAGAGAGAGAGAGAGAAAGATAAAGATGCAAGGAAAGGCAGGGAGGTTAACCAGACGCACATCCGGTTTGCTACGGTTTAATAATATGTGATTATCATAATGGCTTCGTGATTGAAAGCCGGTACCCTCCCCCCCCCCCCCTACTATAGTGAATATAGTTCAATATACCCCATACAGAAGGCACACACGCTACTGCGCCTATTCACTTAAGGCCACGTAGTGGGCGCATAGCAAATTCAAAATCGTTTCATGCACTAAGTGTATGAAGTACGCTCTAAGAACTAGATGACCCTATCACGTTCAACTCCATAAAATGCCGTACTGGCATTTTGCCGGCGTTTTTTCTATGGCGGCGTCACTCAGCGTCGACGCTGCCGGTGACGGTGTTCGAAACGGAGGATTCTGGAGGATTCAGATATCTGCAGCGTCGACGCCGGAAGTGAGCCGATGGATGCAGATCCAATCATCACAAGGCTGCCAGTGATTTCCGCTACGTAGCAGCGTCGTCACTGCTGCCAAAATGGCTGCCGCTCGCCTCGGGGAGGAATAAACTGAGGAGACCACACCTTTCCTTCCTCCGTGGAGGACACGCTGTTACCGTGTTACGTCACATTTTGTGACGCCGGAAGTAGAGAAGAGTAGACGACTCCTCGGTTGCTATTCTGGACACTGTCTAGTTCCGCCATATTGTCGAATTTCGTAATGGCGGCATTTTAAGCCAACCGGAGAGGTCGTAGCAACTCACTTGGCCAATTAGCATCGATCAATGGCGGAATCTGACAACATGGTGGAATTCGACATTGTCCAGAATAGCACCCCTTCTCGGAATTAAGGACACGCTACCATGGCTCGCGCATGCGCAACGGGCGCCAGCGATTTCGGACGCGCCGGGCAGCGACGATGCTGCCACCTGATAGACGAGCTGGGAAAGCGAAACATTTGTGCCGATTACGAGCAAATTTGCTGCGATATTCGCTTGTATAATGCCTGTGTGCTCCTAGCAGCCTCATTAAGGCTCGCGAATCTACAATGCACTTGCAGCTTGGCACTTTCCGCTGAACGCAAGAGAGCACCGGCGAGAATCGGTGAGATAATCTGCACGACAGGCTGTTTTCTTCTGCGCATACGGTAAGTTAGGGATACGGAATATAGTGTAGGAGTGAGATGTTATTTAATTTGTCTTGCTATTTAGCCAGCCGAAGTATCTCCGAATCATTCTTTGCCATGCGTGTCACGATACGCGCGCACGAGTATTGTTCGCAGCAGCGCGGGTTAGCCGACTGCGACCATATCAGGAAAAAAAAAAAAAAAAACTTTGCCAAAGATGAAGTTACCACGCATGAAACGTACATAGAAAGCGATAATTCAAACAATAGGTCACATTACCGTGTCAGGCACGTCTAATTATTCACTCGGCAAGCTCCAGCGAGAACAGCGGGCCACGTATACTGCTTTCCGATAGTCGTGACCACCGTACACTAGAACGGCTCACCATCGCCTCTCGCATTAAGATCCGTAGACGCTGCCGTTGTCGTCTAGGAATTCTAGGCTTCCTTCGAAACTGCTTTGGAAGAGACGCTATGCAAGCGTCATGTCGGACTAACGTCAGTTAGTTGTAGCTCAGAGTCGTCTCTACTTTTGTAACAGTCTAATACTATATATATATATATATATATATATATATATTATATATATATATATATATATATATATATATATATATATGTGAATTTGCATGATACCTTACATTGCCCTTCAAACGCCAGTGTAGTCGACATGCCTGGTGAGCCTATACGATGTGCACACTGCTACTCCATTTACAATAACCCACTGATGTATACCTCGTAGTAAAGCTCGTCTCAAAACAAAAATACCGCGAATTCCGCATAGACAGGCATACTCGCTTAGTGCCTACCATGAAATCGAATCCCACAATTAGTCGGATCTGTCAAATTGTACAAAGCCTCAACTTGAAGACAATGAGCACGTGCGCATATACTTGCCTTAGGGACGTCACATTCTCGGTTCCAACGGCAATGCATTTAACGAATCGTTCATGTACGTACAGTACAGACGTTGTATAAGATAACGCTATGTCGATGCCTGTTTAAGATGACTGCGTGGGTCTGAAAGGCATGGGTCGTCGCAGTGGGATGTAGTGTTATACCATCATACACGAACTAATAATGCGCACACGCGCGCAGACTAATATTTTTCGGCATGTTGGAACTGCTCAAGTTATACAGCTTAAAAATTCAGATAGCGCATACGCAAGGATACTACTAAATAGCTGAAACTCTTCAACTTTACTGTATTGTCTCTGCAGGGGCTTACAAAACATGCCCACACATGACTGCGATTCACACGATCTTGGTTCAGAGTTACTGCGAGCACATTGCTCGAATACCTCATGCTCTTTGTTATGGCTGTCATATACTTTAGCAAGTTAGTTCCGAATTCTAAAAAAAAAAACATAATATGCAGCATTTTCTTTAAACTTGATTCTGAAAGAAGCTCAGATAACTGGGCTGACGATGAGATCAATCTATTTTGAGCAACAGCCAGTGAACCGTTCGCTTCCATTGCTTACGGCTGATAGCGTATTTTCAATTGGCCTTTAAACAACGATCTGGTATTTCTGATCTTGTGCTAAGTGTACCTGTACACAGTGTTGTTGGTATCAACCTAAGAAACCTCAGAACTGACGTGGATGAGACTTGCTGTAAAACAGTATGTGCAACCATGTTAGCTGGACTTCCTTTGTTGGTTCAAATAGTTGAACGGTCATTTAGGCGTCTGCGCTTTAATACTTTCGGTAGAAGCGCATCCGTGACGGCTAAAATGCGCTGTGCCTTTTTTCCAGCTTGGCTATTTCCGACACGTCGTACAGGTCATCCTCCCAAACCTCTGTCGGCGGTCTCTTGATCGAGGGAGACGCCGGCGACACCGGCATGGGCGGAGTGTACGGGGGTTCTGGGGGACGAGGCATGAGCACGAGTTCAACGCGGCGCTCTTTTTTCGCGAACAGAGCCACCACGAGCAAGAGAACGAGCACGCACAGTACGCCTATGATCCACAGATGGACGCGGCAGGCAAAAACCACCATGGGTTCCATGTGCTCCATGTACGCAGACTCCCGCGATACGTGGGCGAAATGGTTGATCACGAACTTTCCGAAGTCACGCCTCTGTGCCACCTGGATTGTTGACGTTATTTTCGGTCGCTCGGACGCTGTCCGATGGTTCGCATGTTGAGTAGTGGGCTGTCTCTTTGCGCTGGTCGCTTCCTTAGTAGTAACTTTAGTGGTGGAATGATAATTTGTCACGGTTTCGATGTGTTTCGTAGCCTTCGTTGTCGCAGTCTCGAGGTTGGTCAATTTTGTACCAAAAATCACTTCCATAAGCCCACGGGACTTTGGGTCGGTTGTCAGTTGCGGCTTTGAAATACCTTGCTGAGCAGGACACTGGCCGATGTCGTCATTCGCGTCCTTTACCGGCTTTGTCGGTCTAGCCTTCTGCGTCTTAACGACCGTCGGCGCTGTACTGCTAGACGACGTCGCCGCATTTGTCGCGAAATCCTCTTCGTAGACGGGCGCAGTGATGTCTTCTTGCTGTACTGGCGTCGTGCGTGGTGTGTTAGCACGTCCCGAA